TTTTAAAGGATATTAAAATAGAAACCATTATTTTATATTGTAACATTTTGCAAGATTACTGTCAAGTACTGATTAGCCTTGATGAGCATAAGAGACTTCTTTAAAAAAAAAACATTACAAGTCTTACTGATCCCAAACTATATATAATGCAATAAAAACATTTAATATGTCACTATAGTTCTTAATATGATTAAAGAACTTCCAAAGTTTAATTTAAAACGGTCATATCATTAATTTTGAAGATATGCTTGGTCAAAATTCATTGTTCCAAATCAAATCAGATCTACTTCATAGTGACAGGATTGTTTTTATGTATCTAGAAATATGTTCAAGCAAAGCCAAAGACAAGTTGGTTGATGCAACAGTGAAAAATTCTATATCTCGTTGTCCAAGGACCAGATATCTCCAGCCAGGTCATTAGCACAGCCCTGGATGGTCCAGGTGAGTAGAGCGAACTGGTTTAGGACCTGGTCTATGTTGAAGCTTGTCTTTTCTTGTACATCACCCAAGTACTTTTCCAGGTCTGTGGTGGTTTGCCAGCCATTACCAAAGAAAATGTGGCGGAATGGGACATCTCTCAAAGAGACATAAGGAGAGAGAAAATTATGCTCCACCTTAAAAGGAGAAAACAAAGACATGAGAAATTGGCCCGTATGTATCAAGCAATGATACAAGATGAGCCTAGAAAGACCAAGAGAATAATAACTTCACCTTCATTATGCGGTTATTGATTATGCGACACATCTCAAAGTCATTCTGGTCGGTATTCCTTATGTCAATATTTAGAGAGGCTGCGGCACGACTGTAGGAACTCTTTGCCGCATTCAGCCACTTCGTTGACAAAGACTCAATTTTATCGACCTGTTAAAAGAACATTGAGAATCAATACGTTTTTTATTGTTTCTCATTGCAAAAACAATGCATATGACAAAAAGCATTACCGTGTCATTTTTGAGAGTGTCAACGTGCTGGGTGATGGCGCTCACGTGGCGGGCAATCACATCAGAATACTTGGTAACATCTAGTTTGAGGATGTGGTCATGGACGAGCCGAAGGGCCATCTGCCCAGCAACCTGAGCAGCAAGCACGGACAACTCAACCACTTTCTGATCGGTGATGCGGTCCAGATGCTTTTTTTCATCCATATTTGTGCCTAAAAACTGTTTATCCTGGTGGAAAAACATCCTAAAATGAGTATGCAAACATTTGGATGACTCTTTGTTTATGACACTTATGAATAGAGCAACATTTTGGGCTGGCAGTCTCAAAAAACCACTGGGTGATGAGCTTGAATGGTAAGGAAATGGCTTGTGGTATTTATTTAAGGATCTGGATGCATGATTAAAAGCATTAATTTTTAAAATTACAATAGACAGGAAAAACACTTACCGAAGAAGAGATGAAACTGAAAGAAACGGATGGGATTCCAGAGAGGGCCAGGAAAGGATATGCACCATCATCCATCTGCATGGGTGTCAGACTGAGCACAAAAATAGATTCATATACATCACATCACCACAGAAACAATCACAATTATATTGATATTTCCATCATTAAAACACAAATCAAAGCAGATTTACTCACAGTGATGAAAAACCACGACCATAACTCTGGAGAAGGCTTGATTTTGACCTTAGGCTTTTGACCTTTCCCAGGGTCTTCTGCAGAAGTGTGTGCAACAAAGGACTGGCAGAAGCTCTAAAAGAATCTGCACCTGTTGATTAAAGAGAAACGCATCTAAAAATGTCAAAGAATAGGGAGAAAAGTAGGAAATGGGACTGTGAACGGAATGAGTGGTTCTCGAACTTGAGCACCACTGAATTAGCTCTACCAAATTTCTCAGGGTGCATAGGCACTAATATGCACTTTTGTTAATACAAAAATAAGATTCAAATTTAAATTTAAAATGAAGGAATTAAGATAGAATTACATTAGTCTATAAATTCAAATAATAATAATAATAATAATAAATTACTTAAAGCTGCAAGCAGCATTGAAAGGGCCCTCGCACCCAGAGCCACCTCCACCCGGTGGCCTT